CGGCGTTGGAAGCGAAGGTTGCGACGCTCACGGGCGAACTTCAGGAATTGAGGGGCAAATTCAGCATTGCTGCGAGATACAATCGTCGATCTAACATCATGGTTAGAAAATCATTTTTCATTCTTAAAAGAGTAATTATAAATATCAGTCGTAGAAATATTCAGATTAAAATGGTACTCAATAATTTTCGGAATGCTTTCATGGGCAGCATGCAGTATTTCTTTTAGTCTCAAATTCAGAAGCAGTTTTATACGTGTCTTCAAGTACCGCAGGAGAGAAAATAGAGTATCTCAGAATTGTGATAATCTAGGTGTATTCATCACATGTCAGATAATTTTTCAAATTCAGGCTCGAAGTGTATTCAGGATGCATGAAGATCAATGACTTTAAATTTTCTAGCCGGAATCATTCAAGTCCCCGAAGAAAGTGATGGCGTGTTCACCACTCGGGCCATTGTTGTCGGAAAAGCGAACGCCTATGCAGAGTGTGTCCGAGAAAGACGAAGAAGACTCGTCTTCGGATTCAGCATCGGACGAAGAAACCGAGTCGGATGGCAAGGAAAATTCTGAGGAGTTTGTTCATCCCACGCCCCGACCTTTGAAAGGAGTTTATGCTAACTTCTTCAGCTATGAGTCTCCTTCGTCTCCCATGCATCAAGATGACAGTAAGAGAGACCCTGATTGGCAGAAGACACCTCTGCAGAAACGCGTCAGTGCTTGCCATTCTCGGATCCAGCGGAAAACCTTGAAGGTAATGCTTCTGTTTTTTTTTTTTTAATTCAGGATTATGTTATTAATTTTTGAAATTCGTTCACTAAGCTAGTGTTGAAGCTGCCCACGATGTACAAGAAATAGAACGGTTTAAAATTTGCAATCACCGCAGTAACACTTGAAAATCATATCTTTTCATTAGAGAACCCATTACTGAAGCATGAGATTGTATTGAATACCGTAATTTACTTTTAAAGTCGTCAATCTGCTTTCAACTTCTGCATAATTGCGCATCCCGAGATAACACAGTATCTCAACAGCTAGGATCAAAGTAGGATTTGCACCAAATAGCGAGAACCATGACGAAAACTGTAGAAAAGAGAGTCTCAAAAGACGAATGAATGGAAAATCACATCACCACCGATGAGGGTCTCATTTGGGGTAACTTGCAGATATTCGCTGCTATTCGAAAAAATAATTTTTAGGAACTACTTTTATCCTCGGGTAGGGATTCTAGCGATCCAGAATTGTGCTCAGTTCACGTAGTTCTTGTATTTGACTGAATCTTAAGGATCTAATTGTTCATTCAGGGACGTGGTGCGAAGGTCCAAAAGTGTGAATGCAAAGGTGATTGCTCGAAAAATCGGTGTGGATGCAGGAAAAGAAATGCTTCCTGTACTAACCA